AGATAATGTTACTATATTTTCATAACATGCTTTTTATTAAAGAAGTCAATGATAAGCTGGTGCCAGTGGCTCATGCCTGAACTCAGGAGGCTGAGATCTGAGGATCATAGTTTGAAGCCAGCCTAGGCAGGAATGTCTGTGAGACTCTTTTTACCAAACTACCAAAAAAGTCAAAAGTGGAGCTGTGGCTCAAGTGGTAGAATGCTAGCATTGAGCAAAAGAAGCTCATGGACAGTGCCCAGGCCCCGAGTTCAAGTCCCAGGTCATGCATAAAAGAAAGAAAAGAAAGTCCATGACACTTTCTCCATGAAGTCAGTGATCTCCTCTTTCCCCTCCCTCCCTCCCACCCTTTTATGGTGCTGGGGATAAAATCCAAGGTCCTGCCCGTGCTAGCACGCTACCAATAAGTCACATCCTCAGCCCAATCTTTTTATTTTTGTGCTCTTTCTCTCACCCATTGAAAGACATACAAAAAATAAGGAACTTTTATTAAATGAGATGAATTATAGTTGAGGACATGTTTTCCTGACTAGCTTTTTGGAAAATTTTGCATTTCATTAAGCCAGCCTAGAGGTACAGTATATTAGCAAAATCATCTGTACTACCAACTTCATGGCAAATTTACCTCATGTACTTTTTCTTTTCTTTTTTCTTTTTTTTGCCAGTCGTGGGGCCTGAACTCTGGGCCTCGGTGCTGTCCCCAGCGTTTCAGGTCAAGATTAGTATTCTACCACTTGAGCCACAGCGCCACTTCTGGCCTTTCCTGCTTATGTGGTGCTGAGGAATCAAACCCAGGGCCTCATGCATGCAAGGCAAGCGCTCTACCACTGAGCCACCTTCCCAGACCTACACTCTTTTCTTTTCTTCTGTCTTTTCTTTTTTCTTTTCTTTTCTCTTCTCTTCTCTTTTCTTTTCTTTACTTTTGTGGCACTTGCACTCTGGGCCTGAGCTCTGTCCCTATGCTCTTCAGCTCAAGGCTAGTGCTCCACCACTTCAGCCACAAGGCCACTTCCAATTTTCTGGTGGTTAATTAGAGATGCGTCTCCTAGATTTTCCTGCACAGGCTGGCTTTGAATCATGATCCTCAGGTCTCAGCCTCCTGCCTGAGTATCGAGGACAGGTGTGGACAACTGGAGCCTGGCCCACATGTAATTTTCCTAATAGAGTCTGGTCCATACCCCTAAACTCTAATCTTGACTATTTTCTATGATGAGACCAAGTCTTTCCTCATGCATGGTATATCTTTTCCTACTTTGCACTATTTAAGAAACTAGGCATATAATCATATGTGATTAAATTCAGTGAAAAGTTTCAAAGTACTGAATTGAAAATCACTGACTTAAAACTTGCTGGTGAGAAAAGATAAACCCCACAACCTCTGGAGATACATATTTCATAACTTAGTAGTTATGACTTTTACTGTTTATGTTAATTTTTCAGTCATAATTTATATAGTGCTTATTGTTGATAGTAGATGTAAATGTGTATTTCACTTATCTAGGTTATTTCTGTCTTGTTACATCTGACTAGCTTTTACTGGTGGTAGAGGATATACTAGAAGGAAAGGATATACTAGAAGATAATAGTAAGAAAGGAGGCACATTTGTATTATTTATTTGTTGTGCTTGAATTACTAATATCTCCTATATCTGTTTTGTTATAGATTATTTAAAGGCCCTCCTTTGCTTTCTGAGGACTAAGCACATTAAACTAGGTTATTTCTATGAAACTATGTAACCATACTATGTGACATGCTGAAACAAGTCTAGGAGATGCCATTATTAACTCACCTGGTAGAATACTTCTCTTCCTTTAGGCTGCGTTCATCTGACTGACTGACTGAGCCCTGGTGATGGGTTCAGCTATTTTTATTTGTATTTCTTGTGTCTGTACTGGGGCTTCAACTCAGGGCCTGGGTGCCATCCCTGAGCTTTTTTTGCTCAAGGTTAGAGCTCTACCACTTGCCACAGCTCTAATTCGGGTTTTTGGTGGTTAATTGGAGATAAGAATCTCATGGACTTTACTGTGCAGGCTGGCTTTTAACTGTGATCCTCAGATCTCAGCCGCCTCAGTAGCTAGGATTACAGGTATGAGATAGCTGTTTGCTATTTTGCTTGGCTTTTTACTTGCCTGGCACCCTGCCACTTGAGCTACATCTCTACTTCCACCCTTGTGGGGGTTTCTACCTTCTCTTTTCTTTTTTTTTTTTTGGTCCAGTCGTGGGGCCTGAACTCTGGGCCTGGGCACTGTCCCTCAGCTCTTCAGCTCAAGGCTAGCACTCTACCACTTGAGCCACAACGCCACTTCCGGCTTTTTTCTTTTTGCTTATGTGGTGCTGAGGAATCGAACCCGGGGCCTCGAGCATGCAAGGCAAGCGCTCTACCACTGAGCCACCTTCCCAGCCCCTCTACCTTCTCTTTTCATACAATATCAGAACTTAGTTTTCATTCTTTATTATCTAATGTTTTATTATCATTATTATTATTAGTAGTAGTAGTAGTCGTCGTCGTCTTCATCATCGTCGTTGTTGTCCTGGGGCTTGAACTCAGGGCTTGGGCACTGTCCCTGAGCTTCTTTTGCTCAAGGCTACCACTCTTCCACTTGAGCCACAACATTACTTCTGGCTTTTTCTGTTTATGTTGTACAGAGCTTCATGCATGCCAGGCAAACACTCTACCACTAAGCCACAATTCCCAGCCCTCTAATGTATTTATATCTTGACTAAGATGGTTAAATTTTTTTGTGAAGGGGAGGAGCTATTAAATCTGGTAGCTGTATGTAAGCTATATTTATTTAGAGGAGCAGATTGTAGGAAACAGGGTAATGTTTTTCCAGGAGGAGACATGTTTGTTTCCAGGCAGGCGTGCAGACAGGCAGATAGGCAGACAGGCAGATACAGAGATACACACACAGCCATAAACTGAACTTAAGCAAGACTAGAAGAAATATGAAGTACTAATATGGTTTTTAATTTGAAAATATGGTTCTGGCTGAAGACAGTGATATTTCAGTGATTTCATTTAACTAGACCCCTTGTTTCTGTTTTATTGTTGTTTGTTTTGGTGGGGTGGGGTTATGCTTCAGTAACTCTCTGAAGAATGGTCTACATTTGTAACCCATTTTGTCTACAAGCGGTTATTTTCCCATTTTAGATTTAAAAGATTTCCATCAGTTGCCTGTACCCTTTCAAAGAGGAAGTAGTTTTATTTTCTCCATAGCTGTGAAACTATCCTCTTCCATTCTTTGTGTGTGTACCTTTTCACTAGCTCTTCTCCATGCTTAGAATGAAACTGAACTTTTCTTATCTACTGTCTTCTTTGGAAGCCTTTGTGGCTTAGCCTTATTAAAAGCTTCTTCCTGGAAACTGCAAGGTATTAAACTTACAAAGGTATTGTGAATTTTTAGTAGATAGGATACATCTTGTTCTTACTGTATTTTAATAATGGGATATCTTTATTTTTTTAATATGAAAAAGTTAAGAGTGAGTTAAAGAGGAAAGCAGGACCTAGTTAAGGCAGTAAAACTTGGTGGCTAGTCATTTCAAAGCCAGCAGGTTTTCCTCCGCCTGACAGCATTAACACAACTTCTTTGATAAGTCCCCCTTCCCCCAACAAATAAGCAATTTCCCATCCATTTCAGTATCCAAGGTCAATTCAGCTCTGAAACTACTTAGACCCCCACAGTCTCAAAGACTGCTTTCTTCCCTTCAGATGCTAATCACAAGCTTCAGATTGTTTTACCTGTTTTGCTTCGAATAGATGAGGCATAAACCAGAGCTCCTTTAGCCCCTCCTCAAGATCCATTAAATTGCTAGAGCAGCTCGCAGAACTGTGGGAAACAGTTACGTTTACTGGTTTATTTTAAAAGATATTACAGAGAGTACTAATGAGCACCAGATGAGTAGGGCATCCTAGGGGAGAAGGGCTTTAGGGGTTCCATGTTCCCATGGGTATATCACACCATCCTGGAACCTCTCCCCTTCTTGGGTTCATCTGGATGCTGGTCCCTGAGCTTTTTTGCTCACGGCTAGTGCTCTACCACTTGAACCATAGTTCTGCTTCCTGCTTTTTGGTGGTTAATTGGAGATACAAGTTGCAAGGACTTTCCTATCCTGGCTGATTTCAAACTACAACCCTCAGATTTCAGCTTCCTGATAAGCTAGGATTATAAGCTTGAGCCATTGGCACCCAGCCATCTTTTGTGTTTCTGTAGATGCTTCATTACATAGGTTTGACTGATTAAATCATTGTTCATTTATAATCAATTTGACTTTCACCCCCCTCTCTTCAAAGAAAACCTCTAATCCTTCCTTGTTATTTCTGGTGACCAGCCTGCATCCTGAAGCTACCATGGAGTTGCTTCTCCTCACTTAACTTATTAGCATATAAAAAGACGCACCACTTAGACCATTGTAAGGATTTTAGAAAACATATGCCAAGAAAACAGGAATGAAGACCAAATATTTATTTCACATTATCAAAGCCAATCTGTTTATTTGTATGCATTTTATTTTATTAATAGGAATAAGCATTAGAAACTGGAACTTGTTTTCAATTTAATGACTTCCATGTAGTTAAATGATTCAGTAATAGTACATAATAACACCAAGAGGACATTGTTTGAAGGAAATTCTGGCCAGTGTCTTCAGTGTATGGTAGAATCCAGCTTTCATTTAATCCATGTGGAATAGTTGTCATTTAGAGATGAACTGACACCTAGCAAGTTATTTACCTTTTTTGAGGAAAACAAAAACTGAATATATAATTGAGTCAGAGAGATTTGTGGGGCTTTACTAACTATTGAGATCTCTATAGTGAGGGCTAATGCTTGTACTTTTCATTCAGAGGATTCACATTTGAAATGGCAGTATTTCATAGCAGCAGTAGTAGCAGTAACAGCTTTGTTTTTCTTAGTCGTGGCAGCCAGTTAACACTGTACTAGTGGCTTAACAGACCAACACTTAAGTCCTTATTTTTTTTGTTTTTGTTTTTGTTTTTAAGTCATTGAAATTATGAGACTATCATTCAAATGGAAGCATTATAGTTCTTCGGAACCATTATGATCTCAAAAGAAAAGGAGAATGATACAGATATTCTGGCTGAGGTGTTTTGAGGTGCATCGAAGTGTTCCAAGCTGTGACTTACCTTAACATGTTCTTGAAGTACCATGGCGTGGATTAAAAGGTATGCTTTTAGAAATCTCCCAGTGACCCAAGGTCATGGATAGAATCAGCACTCATAATTCTGTACTTAGTTATTGCATATTTTGATACTCTAGTATTTAGATTGCAGAAATGATTATGAATTTATAGTAGGTTTTCTTTTGTTACTAAAACTTTATAATTGGCTTTTTTTCCTTTTTGAGATAAGGTTATAGGAGATGCAAGGGTAGATATTTTCCATAAGTTTTAATGGTAATGGGCTATAATGTCTTTTACCAAATAGTTCAGCCATGATTCAAGTGTTAGTCTGTATGTAATTATCTTTCTGCTTTACATCATAGACTAGCTTTTTTCTGTCATTTCATGGTAGTTTAAATAGGAAACATTTGGTTGCATTTTTAGTTGGATTCTTTGACCAAATAAAAACATTTCTAGGCATTTATAATACAGTTTTACTCTTTTTAAAGAAATTTTGCTTGGAGGAGAATGATTTTTAAATAAAAATATTATGACTTCTTTTCATATATATTCATATATGAATATGTGTTAATCATATACTTATAGTATGTAGTTTCACTGTTATTTGTTAGTAGTAATTTTGGGCTTCATAATACCTACTTAGCCACCAAAAATCTTTTAAGGTTTTTATGTTTATAAAATTGTATTTGTAATGTAATCAAAAGTATTTGATTATATTTGTACTAGGTGATTGCTACCAAGTTTTTATATTTTAAAGTTTTAAGTAGTTGTACAGAAGGGTTTCACTTTAACAAGTAAGCTTTAAAAAAAATGTGTTAGAAGGCTGGGTGCCGAGGTGGCTCATGCCTGTAATCCTAGCTACTCAGGAGGCTGAGAGCTGAGGATCACAGTTCAAAGCCAGCCCGGCTTTGTGGCTCAGGTGGTAGAGTGCTTGCCTTGAGCTGAAGAGCACAAGGACAGCACCCAGGCCCAGAGTTCAAACCCCATGACTGACCAAAAAAAAGTGTTACGAGTGAGACAACCCAGATATAAGTTGAATTTATTAATGTTATAAAGTTCAAAATTCTGTCATTTTCCTCCTCCTCCTCCTCCTCCTCCTCCTCCTCCTCCTCTTCCTCCTCTTCCTCCTCTTCCTCTTCTTCCTCTTCCTCCTCCTTCTTCCTCCTTCTCCTTCTCCTTCTCCTCCTTCTTTTTCTTCTGCTCTAATGCTGGCTTTTTTGTTAGTTAATTGGAGATAGAGTCTCACAAACTTTGAACTGTGATCCTCAGATCTCATACCTCCTGATTACAGGCATGAGCCACTAGTGCCTGACAGAATGCTTTATCCTTGAGAAAATGAATGGACATATGTTGGGAAGATAGAAAGGTTAAAGTCATGAGCTGAAAAATTGGCTAGAAATACACCGGTAAAGTCCATTATATTAACCAGGCTACCATATGCCATTAAAACAGTTAAATTTTTAATGGAGTTAAAGCTAAGAGAAAAATATTGAATATTAAAATATTATCTTCTTGGCTGGGAAGGTGGCTCAGTGGTAGAGCGCTTGCCTTGCATGCCTGAGGCCCTGGGTTCGATTCCTCAGCACCACATAAGCAAAAAGAAAAAAGCCGGAAATGGCGCTGTGGCTCAAGTGGTAGGGCACAAGCCTTGAGCTGAAGAGCTGAGGGACAGTGCTCAGGACCAGAGTTCAGGCCCCACAACCGGACCACCCCCCAAAAAAATATTATCTTCTAAGAAAGTCAGCTACTACTAGCCATGGCAGCCATTCATCTCAACCTAGAATGTTATGTGTGATGACATAATAGATTTTATCCTCCAAAAAAGAGTTCCTCAAACATATTTATTTCATGATAGCATTCAATGTGTTGTTTACAAGATATATTTCTCCGTATCATACTTAACTACTTCAGATTAATTTTTTTTTTCTGGAGTAGCATTGGGCCTTCATTTATTTTGTTTAAAATTTGCAGAGTATTTTGATACATAGGCAAACTTAGAAACTTCTTTTTTTTTTGCTGGTCCTGGAGCTTGAACTCTGGGCCTAGGCACTGTCCCTGATCTACTTTTCTCAAAGCTAGCACTTTATCACTTCAGCCATAGCACTACTTCCAGCTTTTTCTGAGTAGTTGACTGGAAATAAGAGTCTTATGGACTTTCCTGCCCTGGCTGGTTTCAAACCGACCTTTAGATCTCTCTCACTGGCACCTGGCTAGAAACAAACTTCTGTTCTTGGAAGAAGAACATGTTTCATTTTTTTATATTTACCATTTATTTTGTTATCTTGACAGGCTGTGAGAATGGTCTGGAAAAGAGTATAGACTTACATATGAAGTATGTGATAGCATAAGCATGTTATTATATAATTGTATAATATTATATATTTATATTATGTCATAATACAGTTATGAAGGACTGGGCATGTAGGTACCAAAAATTGATTTGACAGGGATAGTGATGACTATTAAGTTCCAAATCAGGATGCGCCAAGTTTAAGCTTTATTTTACGTTTGCCTACTGTGAGTCTTCCTCTTTCTTGTAGTAGAGTGTCTGTCCTCGCAGCTATGCGGGAGGCAAAGTGAGATTGCAATACTAGCTGGCCAAAACCTTGAGCCTCTTTTTGAAAAATAACTAAAACAAAAAGAGGCTCAAGTTATAGAGCATACCTACCTAAGTTCAAACTCCAGTACTGTTGCACATAGGCACACACTTGCACATGTGCACTAGTGCAGATATTGATTGAAATATTATGCGTGTGAGAGAGAGAGAGCATGAGAGAGAGAGAGAGAGAGAGCGCGCACACGAGCATGAGAGAGAGAAGAGAGAGCGAGCGAGAAATAGCACCCAAGCGCAAGCACGAGCATGAGTGTGAGCTGGTGGGGCTTGAACTCAGGGCTTGGGCTCTGTCCCTGAGCTCTTTTCACTCTCTACCACTTTGAGCCACAGCATTACTTCCAGTTTTCTGGTGGTTAATAAGCCTGAACTGGTTTTGAACTGTGATCCTCAGTTCTCAGCCTCCTGACTAGCTAGGATTATAAGTGTGAGGTAGGTGTGAGGTACCTGCATCCAACTAAAGATTTTTGTTGTTGTTGGTGGTGGTCATGGGGCTTGAATTCAGGGCCTGCCTAAGTGCTTCCCTGAGCTTTTTTGTTCAAGAGTAGCGCTCTGCCACTTTGAGCCACAGTACCACTGATGGAAATCGTTTTTGTTTTACCATAGACATAGGCTTCCTCAGAGATGAAATTAGTGTTAACATGGTGTTTTGCTTGTTAAAATAACCAGGATAGATTCCAGTGTATGGCTTCTAATAACATCACTTTTAAAAGTTCAGCTTCCATGTCTTGTTTTGATTTTTGTTTCATTTTTTTGTATGTGTCTACTTTGTTTGCCTTGGAAAATATATAAAGGTGCATCATTAGTAAGATACTTGAAGGTTTCTGTTTTTGTAAGGATTCTGGTGACATTTAAACTTTTTTTTTTTGGAATAGTGTCTATGCCTAGTATAATATCCTTATAACAAGAGATAATTTGTAGATCTATTGCAGATGGTCTGAGTTTCTGATGAGTGTTTTTTTTTTCCCAGTCGTGGGGCCTGAACCCTGGGCCTGGGTGCTGTCCCTGATCTCCTTTTGTTTAAGGCCAGCACACTGCAGCTATAGTGCCACTTCCAGCTTTTTCTGTGATTAATTGGAGATAAGAATCTCAGAGATTTTCCTTCCCAGGCTGGCTTTGAGCTTGATCTTCAGATCTCAGCCTCCTTGAAGAGCTAGAATTACAGGTGTGAGCCACCAGTGCCCAGCTGATAAGTATAGTTGTTTTTGGACAATGTTACTCCTTCCTTCATTTTCCTTAGTTTCTCCCTCCTATCTCTGCCCACAAGCTACATAGTTCATTTTTCACATAGTATATATACTGAATACCATGACTACATTTGTTCACTCTTCTTCCCTCCATTTCTGCACCCTCTGGTGAATATTTTTAAATACATAAGGCTTCATAATAGGGCATTGTCAGCATACAGATGTTTTAAGATTGTGTCTAATATACAGTTACTTCTTTGCTAAAAAGCAGTAAGAGAATGAAGACTGCTGGTAAATTGTTTCATAGGAACAGAATTTGTGTAATTGTTTTCTAAACTTAGGAGTTGAAAAAAATGCAAGAATCCTTTGGCAAAGAGGATAGCAAAAGATAATAAGCATAATTCATTTGTCTCGCCCGAAGTTCTTGGAAAGGATCAAGAAGATCTTATTTCCTTCTGATATATTCCTTAGAAGTTATATTTTGAATAATAGAAGATAAAGTAATAACCAGTCAGTCATGTGGATTTGGGGTATGGAAGAATTGAATTCCTTTATCATCTTTCCTTCTCCAAGGTCACCCCTCCCTCAACTGCCAGCTGTCCCTTGTCTTTTCCCAGATTTCTAATTCTTGATATTCTTTTCAGTAGCATCGTTTTGTTTTTCATAATTAAGAGCACTAAGTACTTCGTTCTTTATTTTCCTCTCTCTTCTGGTCCTGGACCTTGAACTCAGGGCCTGGATGCTTTCCCTGAATCTCTTTGTGATCAAAGGTAGTTAGTGCTCTACTACTGGAGCTACAGCCACTTTCCGCTTTCTGTGAATAGTTTATTGGAAATAAGAGTCAGGTAAGAGTCTCAGGCTGGCTTTGCAGTGATCCTCAAATCTCAGTCTCCTGAGTAGCTAGGATTACAGGTGTGAGCAACTGGTGCCCAGCTCATTTTTCTTTTTTTATTAAGTAGTTGTACAAAGGTCATGCTTCTTGTTCAAGGTGATTCCTTCCTTTGTTCTCCCTGATTTTTTTTTTTAATGCTCTTGTACTAGGGTTTGAGTTCAGGGCCCTAGTCCTATCCCTTAGCATTTTTGCTTAGAGCTGGCATTCTACCAATTGAGCCACAGCTCTAATTCTGCCATTCTGGTGGTTAATTAATTAGAGACAAGAGTCTTACAGACTTTCCTGCCAGGCTGCCTTCAACCCACAATTCTCAGATCTCTGCCTCCTGTGTAGCTAGGATTATAGACATGAGC